ACGTACATCTTCCCAAGTGATGCTTTAGGCCCTGTTCTCCAGATGTTCGTGTGAGAAGAGAGTGAGTGTTCACATCCATCAGTTGGTCCTTTTTTTGCAGCAGAGTTTAAAAGGCCAGGCTGTACGGTCAAGGTCAGCCATGCCTGCTGATGTTTAAGAAGGGCACAGCTTTGGGCCCACAGATGCCGCTCTCTGAACCACAGAAAAAGCCAATGCATTTTCTTTCAGACACTACCAGGCCACGGCGTGAAAATGAAGTTGATGGACAAGATTACCACTTCGTGGCCTCACGGGAGCAGATGGAGAAGGATATTCAGGACAGCAAATTTATCGAAGCTGGGCAGTTCAATGACAATCTCTACGGCACCAGTGTCCAGTCTGTGCGGGCGGTGGCTGAGCGGGTGAGTCCGGCACCATGGGCTGCGCCATCCTTGGTCAAAATACCGCACGGGACTTGTGGCATCGTTCAGTTCCTGCATTACCTGTATTGTGTCCACTGTCAAACTAGCAGCAGACTCTGGTCTTGGCTCGTCTGTGCCAGATTTTGGATCAGTTTGAAGCTGCTGCTGTTTCTATTCCACACAGGAGTTGATGCATCCACACTTATGGCCTTAAATCACGATCTCATTTAAGCTCTAGAATACCCAAAATGCTTCGGGTTGTGGTCCTCCTGATGAGTTTGGGGCGGGGGCAAAGCTTCTTGAAAGTGCTGTGCAAAGGCTGTGAGGTAATGGACGCCCTGCCCTCCTCCAGGGGAAGCACTGCATCCTGGATGTGTCGGGCAATGCGATCAAAAGATTGCAGCAAGCACAGCTGTACCCAGTTGCGATTTTCATCAAGCCCAAATCCATCGAAGCGCTCATGTGAGTAACACGGAGGTTTAACAACGGGGTTATTTTGATTTATTCATCAAATTTATGCCCCACCCATCTCACTGGCTATGTGACTCTGGGTGGTTTATAAGTCGGACATGAGTTCGCTTACCTGAATGCTACCTTTGAGGGGCGTGAACCCCCAGCAGTAGAGCAGAACCTCTTGAAAGAGGAGGCCAGAAGATGCAATGACTGCCGTGGGAGGGGCTTGGCAGGAGGGGGGGGCCCCTGCATATTTAGTGATAGAGGCAGGTCGTGTCAGACGTTCTGGAGGGAAGCTTTAGGGATGGATACGGGGAGGTGGGTGTGGGGCAGCTCTTGCCAAACGGACCACGGTCATCTCAGTAATGGGTTTTTTGTCCACTTAGTGCATCCAACTCTCCCTTCAGGCTTTTTGATTGACAGAACAACTGTTATTTGGCTGCAGGTGGATTTAAAATCTACTTTGGGATACCTTTCCCAAAGTACCTTCCCAATCCAAGAATTGCCAGTCTTGGTTTCTCCGTGGCCTCCATACCATCCATGGGCCATGAACTTTCTCCCAAGGCCACAGCCCTCCCGCTTTCCCTCTGCCTGTCTCTTCAGGTGGAGTTGATATGCCGACATGCCCTAGCGATCCAGGAGTCCCTCAGAAAGCTGAGGAAAAGTCCGATTTTGGGCAGTGGGAGAAGCAGAGAAGCTCCGGTCGGGACAGAGGCTTTTGTCCTGAGGCTGTCTCTCTCTCTCTCTTTTTTTCCCTGGGCCTGCAGGGAGATGAACCGGAGGCAGACGTACGAGCAGGCCAACAAGGTCTTTGACAAAGCCATGAAATTGGAGCAGGAGTTTGGAGAGTACTTTACAGGTGAGAGTTCTCTTGGGTTGTGAGCTTGTGGTGGGAACTCCCCTCCGTAGTTGCCTGCTTCACCGCAGGAATTGGGAGGAGTGTGCAAAACAGGTTTTCATATAGATAAAAACGGGGTGATAATGCAAGATCGGTTTAGTTGCTTGAAGCTTCTAAGGAGGCGGTGGGGGAAGGAAAGAGGGCCCTTCTTGTCTGGTAAGCCACTTCTGTTTTTACTTCCATAGCCATTGTACAAGGAGACTCCCTGGAAGAGATTTACAGTAAAATCAAACAGATAATAGAGGACCAATCTGGGCATTATATCTGGATCCCATCCTCTGAGAAACTGTGATGTCCCCCTCCCTTCAATCAACCCATTAGAAGATCAGCGACCCTTCCCCCGTCCTCTGCCCCAGAGGGGGAGCGAGAAGGCCACCCCGTCCCTTTTCTAGATGGTTGACAAATTGCGTTTTCTAGTCCTGTTTTTCTTTTTCTTGGGATGGGCCAGTCTCCTTCATCAAGTGACTCTCCCCACCATTCCTGCATGGACGATCCTGCTGCTCCCCTAGAAATGGAGACAAACCCTATTTGAGAGTTTTCTGTGTTTTTAATTAAGAAAATACATCAACTGTTGAAGTCAAGAAAGCAAGGCAGGAGGTGGCAGTGGACAACTAGCCTCAAGAGCCACCGATGCGACACGTGGACAGTTCTTGCCCCTCTCAGTAGAATGGAGACTGGCAGCCTGTCAATTTTACCAAGAAGAAAAGGCAACAGAATGCTTTTATTTATCTAGATATGTAATTTTATATATATAATATATGCTCTGAATATATACATATATATGACTAGAGAATGTTCTGAATAGTCATATATATATATATATATATACACACACGAGACTAGAGAACCCGAGGGGGCTGCTGAAATGTTCTTTGTTAGCGAAAGAATTGCTGCCTTGCCTCAGCCATTGGGACAGAAACCGCTGTAGAGGTGAAATTCATGGTACGGAGCGTTTTGAGGTGCTGTTCTGTGGTTCTTCCAAAGCCAATTTCTGCATTTGGAAAGAGAGAAGGCAGCACTCTGATTACAGAACAAACGGAGGGCCCAGAACCACATAACAAGTTACAACAATTTATTTGAGCACGCAAAAGCAAAAAGATAATGCTACATATTAACTGCACATTGTTTTATGTCACCTGATGTGTTTGCATGAGAGGTTTTTTTAAGCTGCTGTTAAACCAAAATCATGTTTGTGTTGGTGTGTTGGCTTTTCATTATTCCAAGCTTTTGATTTTAATAATGAACTGAACGGGTATTCAATCCAGTTTTTTAACTTATTTTTTAAGATTGTTCCATTGTAAATAGTTTCCAGACCCAACCTACAGACCGTGCGGAATGAGCAAAGCGGCTGTTCAGTGTTGCAGTCGGGTCACTTGTAGAGACTCAACTCCATCCCACCGACTCGTTCTGTGGAAGAGTGTGGAGTTGTTCCGTGCAGTGGGAAGCTGGATGCAGCAGGTGGTGTGAAGAGAAGCTTGTGCCTTGGAGGGTCACTTTCAACCATGTTTTCAGTGGAAAATTGACTCAAGAACCTGGGAAGTTCTTATTCTAGCAGAATTGTGCCAAATTCTGGTTGCAACACTTGAAGCCCTTCCTGACCAAGCTAATCCTTGGAGGCTCCGTGAAGAATCGCACCCTCCGTCTTCTTTTGTGTTTCTACATGATCCTCGTTGCAGAGATGGACCCCAGCCATTCCTTGCTGCCAACATCTGCTTGCAATTCTTCAGGATAGCAAAGGGCAAGTGCAATTCAGAACGCGCTTCTCCGTGTGGCACAGACTGTTAGTCTTCCATGGACTGCGGCTAGCTGCTAATGGGAAGCCTTGATTTGTGGTCATGTCAGTGTGTAGACTGTAGGTGCAAAAAGATTTTTTTTTCTATTGCCGAACAAGAGAGTAAGTTGGATTTGTGGAAGTTCTGGGTGGAGTGTTCAAGCGTTGCTGGATGGGTGCAAACCCTTGCCTGTGGGCCAAAGGAAGAGGTTTGCCACTTTTGCCATCTTGCTCCAATCTCAAGTTTGAAAGAGATAATTGTACACATCTCGTTTCCATGGAGCGAGAGCCACGGCTGCTACAGGAGGGAGGAGAGATCCGAGTTGTCCTGGTCCCAATCCCCCGGGTGGGACGAGGCCTCGGCTTGTAGCCGGTTGATGCTGTCCGCTCCATCGCTGGTAGGTAGCTATATCATTCATTGTGTGATTTGTGCACGGCCTTCATTGTTAAACATGGGTGAAAACTGTCATCTTGCGGAGAATCATTCTGGTAAGCGAGAAGCCATTCCCACATCAGCTGTGTTGCAAGTGGAACTTTGGAAGGACTAGAGCTGCTGTTCGCTGGTGAAGAATTGGGAGGAAGCTGCTGTCGGGTACGAGAATCCCTGGTGGAAAGGTTTGGGAGAGGCCACCACCGACTTCCTCTGCTCAGCTGGTGTTGCAAGACATGTTCTGAAGAACCGGACTATGCATAAATAGAAACAGCTCTCGAGGTGGCTCGTCTCCGATGACTTTTATTTTGTAATAGCCGGTCACTGTCTTCTAGGCTCATGGAGGAAGGGCCTGCCTCCTCCATGGCGTAGCTGAAAGTATCCAATCATGACACTAGTTGGTTTACCAGTGTTTCTTCCAAGGAGACATATATTTTTAATAAACGAACATTGCAATGAACTAGTCTGCTGCCGTTTTCTTGGGAGGGCCTTGGCTTGGGGCGGGAAGGGGGCAAAATTACCTTGTAGGGCTTCATGGGCCAGAAATATTAATCCAAAACTGATGCTTCCATCATCCTCATCTACGTGTGAAAGCGTCACAGCCTTTCGTTAGTGATTTGGAATCCTCTTTTAAAGCTATTTTGCTGGATTCTTTTGACAGTTACTTTCTACCTCTATCTTTCAAGCCAGTCACTACACAATGAATGTAGTACTTGCAAAATTGGAAGTTGTGACAAATGCTGCAACAGCAGGGTTATTTGCCTTGCAGTGCAGGTGTGTGCACAGCCCAGTAAACAGCTACCTACTACTAAAAGTAATATAGTGGTCTCCGGGTGCCTGAGGAACCGCCTTCATAGTTGTGTTCATGAGATTCATTGTTGGGCCTATGTGGTAAAGGAGATTAAAGAGCTGAACTGTAGATCTGAACTTAAATTCTCCATTTGTTAGGCCAAAATGGGTGAATTGCTTGTGTAAGGCCACCTTGAACTTCTAGGACAAAATCTGCAGCACAAATGTAATTGCAAAAAATACATAAGGGAAGACAAATACAAATAGAACTCCTTTATTCAACTTCATGTTTGTGAAGCATCCTCCACCGAATACAATCCCACACTTGCCAGTGCAGCCGGTTCCAGTTCAGCACAGAGCAGCTGGTGGCACCCAGGGTCCCCCTCACTCTTCTTGATAATGGAGTCTCTTCGCTTTGTCCAGTTTTTCCAGCACCTCACCATAAACACCAATCATCTGTGGACAAAGATCACCCCAAATCCTTTAACAGAACGGCATGATGGGCTATGGAGGGCTGTGCAGCTCAGCCCTTCCATTAGCTGAAACAACCAGGAGACCCATGGACTATGTTAAATGCTGCCTCTTGGGTCTGCAGTTCAGGGGTGAAATGCTTCCGGTTCGGACCAGATCGCCCGATCCAGTAGTGATGGCGGCTGCTGGTTTGGAGAACCAGTAGCAAAACTCCCTGCAAACCCCCGCCCCCATGCCCAGCTGAGCCGTGCGATCATTGAGGCTTTTTTAAAATATACTTTTAAAAGCATTTTTTAAAAAATTGGCGACGCCCGCCCAGTCACATTACCCCACCACCAAGCCACGCCCACAGAACTGGTAGTAACAAATTTTACATTTCACCACTGCTGCAGTTCCTCAGACTCCTTTCAAAGGGCTGCTCAGGAGGAGGCTGCCCTGGCTCTTGGGAAAGGAGCTCAGCTGTTTTAGTTGCAGAGCGAGGCATTTACACCACTGAAACAAATTTTTGGAAATCCCCTAATCCCCACTTGATGCTAAATCTCATTAAGCAGTTTCCTCCCCCCCAGTCACCTATGGTAGAACTGCTGTTTTTTCCTTCCTTTACGACGGGCCATTTCAGAGGGTGCTCTGGGTGTGATTAAGTCCTCTCCCTCCGCCCACACTCACCTGGTTCTCGTAGCTGTTCTTCAAAGTCCCCAGGTAAGCCAAGAACCGCATTCCTAGGCCACACCATTGCTCTGCTTCCTTGTATTTGCCAGCACAGTATTGGTATATTCCTGTGTTCCAAGCTCTAGTCATGAGCCAGATTATCTCCACCTCTGGGTAACTAGTCTGTAGCACCTGCTAACATTCAAATGGACATATCACAGCTTTAGTTTTAATATAACCAAGAAGGGCAAAAAGACATACAGCTGTATTTTGCTTTAACACTGCTGGGTATGTGAGCCCCCGTACGCACAAGCTGCCTCATTTAACTGCCTGGACAGAAGTGGGGCCCACCGAGAGGATGATGTCCTCATCCACCTGAGCCTGCGATGTTAGCAGGAGAAGCCAGGCGAATATTCTGTTGTATCAAGATGCCCATCTGGCAGGCTTTCAAGAGCCCCGTGGAAAGGCCGTCACCAAAAGAAGCTGCGTGATACTAACTGTGTTGTCCAACACGGTCAGGGCATCTTCGAAATAGGCCCAAGCCTCCTCCAGCACACAAAGATCTGCCTCAATGGGGCCAGAGGGCAGGGAAAGGTGGACCAAGCTGTGCAGGCATTTGCTGAGTATGAAATACAATGGGAGGTCAGGCTTGAGGTAAGCACCTGTGAAGCACCTTCTTCCTGCCTACTTTGCAAGGCACCCAAACCTCTCGCTGGGTCACCCGTCCAGCCCTCCCCTCACCCCAACTCAGGGGACCTTCATCAACAGGGAAGGTAAAAGCAGCTGTTCCCTTCCACGTTTTCAGAAAGAAGCCAACCTTCAAGGTCCTGAGTGAAGGCTGCATCCCTTGACTTTTTTTGTCGCAAAGAAATAGTAAGAATTTTACCTGCAACAGCCATCCTCTCCCGAAGCCTGTCCTCCACCTCACGCAGCCAGGATAAATACTCCTTATGCACTCAGCTGCTCTTCAGCACCACTGCTTACCTGTAGGCTATTGTATCGATCGATTCCCTTTTCTTGAGGAGAGTCAAGATCATCCTGAGAGCCCTCTTGCACACGGAGGGATAGTGAGCGGGAGATTCCATGGCCAGTGCTTGAGGAAGAAGTCATGAGAGAAAGAGACACCTTTCAAGCTGCTGGGCACCTGCCCTTTGACAATACCGCAGGGCGCTGCTCAGAGGAACAGGCTGCAAGCACAACATCGATGGTGGGGTGGGGGTGGGGGTAATCCCAGAAGCTTCAACTCCACTTCTGCTGTGGCCTCCCTGCCTCAGACTCATGGAAGCAGCCTTTCTGATTTGAAGCAGCTGCCTTGAAATGCAAGATTCCCCCCAGGAAGGGTGGTGGGAGCATCAGGCCCAGCTCTTACAAGCAATGGTTTCCAGAGTCTTGATCTCCACCTGTGGAAGCGCCAGCACTTCGTCCAGCAGGCTGGACACTGCAGGAGAATTCAGCTTGGCGCTGGCTTCAAATTCATAAAGCTGCAATATTGTATCCGTGGGGTCCTTGGGGAAATCACCTATGGAGCAGAAAAAAAGTCCCATTTTAGTAGCTCACGAGGTATGACCAGGGAGGGGGGCAAAACAGGCCCCCAGTCCGTAGTGTTTCAGCACAGCAAAGAGGAATTCAGGTAGGAGAGGGGCATTTCCGAGCCTATGAAGCCATGAGAGCTGACAACGGCTGTCTGGTTTCCACTAGAAGATCAGGCGATGTCTCAATTCCATTGCTTCACTAAGCTTGGAAGGAGGATTCAGGCTCACTTCTCAGTCGACACTGAAGTTCTTGGCTCGGAGAACCCCCCAATCTGCTCTGAGAGGGCTGCAGCCTTGCTTGAAAGGGTTCAAGTGACTCTTGCCTGAAACAGGCCTGTACTCCTGACAGATTTCAGCCTCGGGGCAAACAACATCCCGCTGCCATCGCTAACTGAGGCAAACAGGTTTTACCATTCATTTATTTTGGAATTGTAGAAATTCTAGCTCACCTGTCTGCTTCAAGACTTTCCAGATGGCTCTGCAGGACTGGATGTACTCGAGGGCCTGAGTCAGCAGTTCGGCCTGCTTTGGAAGCCAAGACACATTTCAGGTAAACTGCACGTGAGATCATCACCATCTTCGTTGGAGTGTCAGGGAGAATGTGTTTCCTGATTTTTTGCATACGTAAACTTATCTATTGATTATCAATGCCTAGATATATTTTTTAAAAAATTTAAATGTTCTGCAAATTCTCTAAAGAAGCATAAAAGGGTAGAATGAATACAGGTTTATGATATAAAATGTGAAGCACTGGAAGAATGGTTCAAGTATCAAACATTATTCCCATTTTCAAAGACAGTCATTTCTATAGGACAATTCATCAGAAATGAAATTAGGATTTCCTGACTTTCCACTGAGGCACTAATCCTAAAATACAAAAGTTAACCTTTGAATTCCTTTCAAATTCTACCTCATCAGCAGGAAGCAAATTGCTTCGGCTTATGTCCAGATCCACCGCAGCAGCCATGAGCAGGCACGTTCTCTGAGCGAGCAGGACAGCTTTATCAAGAGGACAAAACTGGGAGAACTGGAGCAAAAGATATCAGGGCAACCATAATTAGTTCCTGGACTCAAACCAGTTGTTGCTGGCTGGCTACTCATCAGCCGGCCAGTGATGAGACATGAATACTAAGGTAAGTCTCAAAAGAAATGGAGCTCCTTTCAAGAAGAGCTTTGCACAAGGAACCCACATTTGCAACTGCAAAGACATTGGGGAGAATTTAGGGAGAAGCGCATACCTTGAAGGATATTATAAAGAAATCTCTCATCACTTTTAAGCAGCCCTCACATCGCACAGCCAAGTTCCAAGCTCATAAAGCAAATAAAATAGAATGTCAGATTTAACAGCACTACCAACAGCAATTACGACAATTCTGCTCAAGACAAAGCTTTTTCTCTTCTGATGGGCTTAAAAAGTCACTGATTATTTCTGTATGGAGATTACATGGGGATTCCTATTATTATGAAAGAATACCTCTGCTTTTTAAATCCCTTCTTTCTTCAATCCATAAAGATACATTCCCCAGCTCCCCTTCTTGGAATGTACGAGACAAAATGGCCATGTGAACAAGCTGTCTTGAACACCTGACTGAAGGTGTTCACTGCTGACAAGCACAAGAAAACCCGATTCCTTGCTCTCAGATCGCTCCTCCTTTTGGATTACAGGCCACACACCCAGGGGGGTTGTGTCTGTGCATGAATGCGGAAGGGGGGTCAGACAGCATCATTTTGCACAGGAGGGAATGCATGCATCCCTGATGTAAGTCTCCCCTGCCAAAGCATTTCCACTTTATATTTTTTGTTTCAGAACCATGGCGTTGATCATGCAGGGTGAGTGTGGGCTCTGTGTTGTGGCCTACCTATCTTTCTGAACCACTGAGCTTCACTGGCCCTGATCTCTAGCAACTCCTTTTCCTCTTTGTGTAGCTCATCAAGTCTACGGTGAGCTGGAAGAGACTAAATAATGTTAGCAACAAATATGAATTTAGGAACATTGTACATTCTGACTGGGACTTTATAAAGCGATTAAAGATCTGTCAGGGTACCAAAGAGAGGACATTCCCCGCTGCAGCTCTTGCTCTGGACTTAGTAAATGGACAGAAAGATCTAGCTACTTTAATACCTGCTGTCAAGTATGATAGGAGTGTCTCCATATCTTTAATCCTAAAATAAAAAAGTGGGAGTTATTTAACATCTCTAAATGATATTAAAGGGAGGAAAATATCTTCTCTGAAAAAACAGCAGTTGAAATAAACCAATAGTAGCACTGCTCTTCTATGAGGAAACAGAAATATGATTACAGGAAGGAGGAACTAACACTGGCAACAGGAGGGTGAAAAAGAAAATCTAAATCTAGGTTCAGTACTACATTAGTGACAGTTCAAGGCTAAACGTTTATAACCTTCCACGCAGTTCAAGTCACTATTTAACTTTTCCCACTAACACCTTATCAAAAACTGAATATCCACAATTATTAGAAATGTAACTCACGTCTCCTCTTCAGATGTCACTTTCAACAATATAAGTCGAATCAAACACCTGCAACAAAAGCCAATTATACCATGTGATGTTTAGTAATCACATAATTTAAAACACCCACCTTCCTTCAAAAGCGACTCTCTTTATTTTTATCATTGTTACTAACTGTAGAGGCCGGGTGCTCCTTTGCTGAATCACTCCAGCACAAAAAGTCCACATTTAGTGTTGAACAAAGACAGCAAAACTTTTAATAATAATTTGGTATAGATGGACTCAAATTCAGAACTAATTTAAGAGATACATTTTAAAAAATGAATCTGAAACAAGATTTCAAGTAAAGCAAATCCTTCCCAGTTATAAAATGAGGGCATTTTAAGGAAATATAAAAAAGGACCGAAGTCTTCATATTTTGACAGCAAATTATGAAACAAACAGCATTTATATATGTTACTCACTTTACTGCTGTAAGCGCCTGCTGGCAATCCTGCAAGTGTTGAGATAAATACCCCAAGGCTTTAATAGCCATGACCTGTTGATCATTCTGAAGGGAAAATACTTTAATTAGCAATATAAAAATGAAAAATATAACTTTAGTATGATCTTGTTCTACCTGAACACAATGAATGCCATATTTTAAACACAATTCAAACATGGTCAGGCTGAAAAACTCAATTCTTATATTTGGGGAATCTCAATTCAAAGCACAAAACGTGGAGCAAATGCTAATGCTGAGAGACACCATGAGGACTATAACATTGTCGCTCAGCTCCATTTTCTTTCACTAATTCTCTCTCTCTCCAGGGTGGTCATTGTAAGTATCCAACTGAGGATACAGTATCCAAATTTTGCTTATTTCCCTCTTCCCATCCCTTCCTTAGCTTCTGCTCTTTTTATAAATTGCCAGCCTCTTGGAGAATGGAATGCTTTGCTTTTGCTGACTTTATATAAAATTTAATTTAATTGAAAAGGACAAGTTATAGAGATCCCACCAGCCGCAAGGATCCAATCTGTACCTCCAAGGCAAACTGAGCTGCTAAGCTCAGAAGGTTGGTAGCCATAGATCCTTCCATGAGTGGTTTGCCTTCCGTGAACTCTGCAGCCGATTTCTCCATTGCTACAAACGCATCCCAAGCTAAAAGGCAGACAAGAGACATTAACAGCAGTCTTGGCTTGCTCATTTCAACCTGGATTGATTCCTTCAGACCTAGGGTTGATTGACAGAAGCCTTGTGGCTCTTTTACTGCTGCTCCTATCCATGGGCTGTCTAGTGATGGCCTATTTCAGGTAGCCCAAGAAAAGTCCTTGATCAATCTCTTCAAAGGCCAAATTGTCATTGTCTATGGAATCTCAGCTACTTGTGTGGGAGGTTTGATCTTACAGTAGGCTCTTTTTCTGTGTTCCAGAGAGTAGCAATAGTAAGAAAAATAAAGTACTGTTGTACCTTGAGACAAAGACATTCGTCAGCTCTTACAGTGCTGTAAGATTTTGTTGTTGTCCTTGCACAGAGATGTAGTTGTTGCAAGTAAATCATTTCCTGTGTCTACAATACATACAATTTGTGTTTTTCATTCTGTTTGTCATATGAGGGATTGCTTTGGTTTATGGACATAGTATAAATGAGTGTTTAGTTAGCAACCTTAAGGGCCAGTCTGGGCTCACTCTCCACCCCTCTACCGAGTTCAGGATCCTGCATTTTTTACCAGAATAATTTTAATTTGATTTAATTTATCAAATTTCTATGCCGCCCAACTCCCAAGGGATTCTGGGCGGCTATAAACCCGAAGATGCTACTTTTGAGTCAAGCTCTATTGCTGGTTACTCTTCTGGCTTGAATCTTCAATTATGTTTAATTAAATTACATATATGAGAAAGATCTATGTTAGAATAACATGCAGTAAAACATATGTATATTGAGAAAAAATACTTTGTTTTTCATGGTTGCAAATTTAAATCAGTGAGATTACAGAAGAATCGTATTCTGTAGTCTGTCTCTCTGGATCTATTTTTCTTATTCTATGTATTTTTTATATTTATGGTTCCCTTTAATTTTTTTACCATTTTAATAGTTTCATAATCCATCCAGAGAACTCTAAATCTGGTGGATGAGAAATATATAAAAACTATATAGTTAAATACATTATTCAAATAGGGCATATTAAAGCTCATGCTGAAATAATCTATGCCCAAGTAATTCATTTAAAATCTAAAAATATTCTACCGATTCCAAATATATAATGAAATAACAGTGGTGTAACTAAAAACCACTACTATTTTGCACACCCTGATAATAGTGATTAGCATCTTTTTGATGACATTAATAACAACAAGCAAGCAAGATGGATTACCAAAGAGACAGTGAGTGTGCTACCAAGAAGCATTTCTGCTCTACATAGAAAGAACAAAATGCCCTAAATTCTGAGCTGTGTCCTGGACAGTCAGAGGTTTCTAAATCTGGAACTTTTACATTCTTTCTGCTGATGCCCTTTGTGTAATTTTCCATATTCTCTTAAAAACATAATTCTATGCAGAAAATATCAGTTGTGAATTCCATTTTGTGACAAGAGGTGCTTGTCTGATATATAGAGGGCAAAGGTGGGACAAACAGATTCTCTTGCTCCTTGCCCTTAAACAGATGGATTACACATTCACTGGCACAGTAAAAGCACAAGGGGGTTTACCTTTGATGGTATTTTTCTCTAAGACGGCTATTTTATAAACATAGAAGTGAGTGAAGATGCTGCTTGGGTCGCTTATTTCTGCCTTCTTTACAGCCTCATTAGCCTTTTGGTAAAGAGAATCAGCTCAGTTAGTGACAACAATAGCCAGATAACTGGTTAATAATAGGAATATAATTAGTATCCATTAAATACTAACATATCTGCAATAAAAGATTTATATTATATTATATTATATTATATTATATTATATTATATTATATTATATTATATTAATTATATTATATTATATTATATTATATTATATTATATTATATTATATTATATTATATTATATTATATTATTATATTATATTATTATTTTTTTAAAATTTGATTTATATGCCGCCCTTCTCCAGAGACTCAGGGCGGCTTACAATGTGCTCAGCAATATATTATTGCTGATATAATATTATATTATATTCATGTCATATTAGATTATATCAAACAATTACTGTAATATATCCCAAATGAAGCATAGATTAACTCTTGTACTGTCAGATCGATACATTCACACAATAGTTTTTTTTCATTTTTAAAGTTTTTAAGTCCATCTGGAGCAATAAAAACAATATAAATACATTCTCTGCTGACAAGATGAGATGAGAGTCCCAGCAAAAAGGACCGCTTTGCTTCTGAAGTGATGCTGGCAAAGGAATTGTCACGCCGGAAGCTTTGAAAGAAAAGATGAGTTGGCAAGGGTGCCACTGTCCCCTGGTTCTTCCTAAAACGGCTAAGGGCCATGCAAGCATTCTTATTTCCTAAGGAGTCTGAAGTGAGGTATACGCGTGTGCCATCATAGGCGAGCACTGCAAATGATGCCAGAGACTTCCTGAGGCAAATGAGGCAAGACTAGATGCAATATCTGCCAGAATAGGATGTTCCTTTGGGAAGGGACAGGCTGTATGACCTCTGGGTCTTCTGCAGCAGACAACAAGCTTAAGAATATGCCTCAGGAGAAAGCCCACGTTAATGAATTAATATTAACGTGCTAACAACCCCAGCAAGAAGCAGATGGATTTGATACACTCTGACATGTCTTCTCCTCCTTGTGAAGATGACTGGCTTCTATTGCAAGCGATGACCAAGGCAAAGCATATAAACCTGATGATGATCCTTTATACCTGATGATACAGGTATAAAGGAGAGGCCCTGTTCTCTTGGGCTTCATGTAGCTCAGGCCTTCAGTATTAAGTAGTAAGAAGACCTCCCTCCCCCAAACTCTCCCTTCAGAAAGAAGCAGCCCCTGATTCTAAGCCATTGTCGAAGATTCCTTCTCTGCCCAGGGAGAAAGTTAAAGAGGGTCCCTGAAGAAAGGGGACACAAAGAAGGAGGAATACCTTGCCGGGTTCTTTCAGGTGAAGATAGCAAGCAGCCATGTTCCTGTACAGTTTTGCCAGGTTCTGCTGGTCTGTCTGTCCAGATGCATAAAAGCTGAGAGAGTAGTTGTACCACTGAAGGGCTTCAGCATAGCTCTTGGACTAGAAAACAGCAACCGGGTCTTAATGTTAGATATGCTCTAAGCAACTGCCTATTCAAAGGCAGAGAGGCGGGTTCCTTTCTCAGACCAGGAGAGAAATTTCCAAAGTTTCTCATTTACTATATATTAATTAAAATTAGTTACTATGAGCTTAATCAGACACCCCAATCTCAATGCAAAGCAAGGGACAAATCTTCAAGACAGATGATGAACACAACGTAAGCCAGATATTTTCACAATATTAGCCACCTGCATAGTTATCTTCGGGAGTTTGGAATATATTAAATGACAGATAATGAAGACCATCTATTTCCTCTATATCAATAATCTGAAACTGAGGCTCTCAGATTGCAACTCTAAGGTGTTATCTGCATACTTTGAAAAGGATACACTGACTTTGCTCAGAGGTAGTAAGAGGACAAACCTCGTAATTCTTAGCTGCTCTGTCCCACAAAACAAGGTGTAAACGGCTGAGTATTTCAGGAGGCAGTTGCTTTCCTATGCTGTGTGCTAAGAAGATAAATTTCAGAATTTCACTAATTCTACAAATCTGAAGAATGTCCACATGTCAATCTATATTGAGATCTAAGATCACTTATGACACCTAGCAATACTAAGCAAGATTTCACCTAAAAGCTCAAAATACTGCTACTAAAATTTCTAGTATCACATTTCAAAAGTAGACTCTTCAAATCATGGTTAAAAGTTTGAACAATTTAAAGACAAGCTTAAATTAATCTTAATCTTCATTGGTACATAAAGTTACGCAATTTTAATCAGCATAAAGTTATAATTGCTGGATTTCTTAGCTGAAAATTTCAAGCGAAACAGGTTTTCACATCCTACAAATTGCTTCCAAGTATCTACCCTAGCAGTGTAATTAAAAGCTGGACACAGACCTGCAATGGCATCTTCAATCATTCCCCTGGCAAGTGGCTCCTTCATTCTCTGTAACAGGAGTTCGATCCGAAAGAGAAGGACTCTGCCAGCATCTGGGGATCTTTCAAACAGCTGAGATGCTGATTTCAGAAAGTCAAATCCGATGGCTTCCCTGAATGTACATGAAAAGAGGTTGGGCATTTTGACACCGGGGAAAGCTGAGAGAATTCATATATTTAATTCTCAGTAACAGAAACCTGACTCCTCACTATGTTGTTCTTCCAGAACAGTCATTAAGATACAGATTTCCATATCAAAAGCTTGCTGAAGCACTCTGACAGGAATCAAATTGTAGGTCTGTGCATAGTACCTACAATGCTGCAATCGTGCTAATTGTAGGCCTTTGGCTGAAAACGCTGCTTACCCAAATGTGTCTCTTCAAATCAATCTGAGCATTGAAATGAAGAATTATTCATTGTCCCTTTGTTTCATTCATTCCCACCTAGCTGATGCACCTGCACTTATTGCCTACCTCCTGCTACTGGGTAACTCTGGCATTCTCTCTGTCAATTCACCTCCCTTTATTGCAAGAAAATAAATCATAATTATAGAAACAAGCTGCAGAAAATTGGAGTTTGTAAAAAAAACACAAAGGAAATACATTAGGTGGAAGTCTTTAATATTCCTTAAATACCCTTACGATAGACACAGATGCCTAACTGTGTCCAGAGGGCCCTTCGGTCTTTATACCTCTCGTGTTCAAGAAGCAACTTTGCAGTGTCCAGACAGATCTCCAGAGAAACCTCATGCTGCAGAAGTTCAGTGACAGCTGGAAAGCAGCAACAGCAAGGTTAGTATGTTCACTAAAAGGGTGTGTGTATAGGGGGAAGGGAGGTAAAGTGCAAATACTTTGTCTTATACAAGACTGACCAAATAGCCAATGGTCTGAGAACCCTGATGGACAGAAAGATGAAGCTCATTGGGATAATTTACATTGCTATGCAGTAGGAAAATGAACATACCCAATAATCTTTGCTTGTAGAAAGGAGGAAAGGAAGAATTCATATGAGTAAATGTGGACGCTGTTTGTAAAACTCTTAAGGGCTCCTGCATTAGTTTAAAGTTCCTTTCCTTTGTTTAGAAGCAAAATAATACATCAGCTTAATTTAAACCTGCACAAGTTAAAGTGAAACTGCTACTGCTACAGACTGAGAAACAGTCTAGGTCAGTTCACCATCTCCTCTGTTACAACTCAGACATTCTTTGGTAAAGTTGTTGGTTCTACGTTGAACCAAGAATAATACCTTTTCTAATATCTTCATCCAATGCATCACTTCTCAGGAGAATTTTAATTTTTAAGTAAAAACCAGCTGGATGTAAATTATCCTGTAAATCGAAACATCAAGTAATTATTTGACACTCAAACTATTTTTATCAGATTCAGGGTATTTTTAACTAGCTACTGGGAAAGCACAGCCTATTCATAAAGAACATCAAAACTTTTCATGAGTATTCTCTGTAATGTATCTTCTAGAATAATCTTAAATATCCTTAGCAACGATCTACCTGCTATTTACCAGTTAATAATAATTGTTCTTATTAGATTTATATCCCATTTTTTTTTCTTTTTAGAAGTTCGGGATGGTCAACCCAGTACTCTTCCCACTTTCCCTGAGACAGAATTGCAGAGGGTAGATTGTCTTGGTCCAAAGACACCAGGGAACTTCCCTCATGAAGGATGGACTTGAACCACACAGTTAAACACTACATGGCACTTAATCTTCCATTTGAGCGCCTCAAAAATCTATTACCTCAGAAGCCTCATATCTAAAGAAATTAAAAAGTTATTTTAATAAATCCCAGAGACCTCAAACTGTTATTTTCATTTTAAATAGCAAAGCATTTTATTCTTTTTTAAACATCATTTTGACTTGAAAAAAAAAACTATTAGGACCAGCAAACTACACTGACCTTAATTTTATTAGATGCATAGAGATGAAGTGAGATTTGTTATGTATACTATGCATGCATAAATACTTCACGATTGTATAGCATACATCTGATGAAGGGGACTGCAACAGTGGTGAAATCCAGTTTTTTTTATTACCGGTTCTGTGGGCGTGGCTTGGTGGGCATGGTTTGGTGGGCGTGGCAGGGGAAGGATACTGCAAAATCTCCGTTCCCACCCCACTCCAGGAAAAGGATACTGCAAAATCTCCATTCTCACCCCACTCCAGGGGAAGGATACTTGAAAATCCCCATTCCCTCCCCATTCCTGGGGGAAGGATATTGCAAAATCCCCATTCCCTCCCCATTTCTGGGGGAAGGATATTGCAAAATCCCCATTCCCTCCCCACTCTGGGGCCAGCCAGAGGTGGTATTTGCCGGTTCTCCGAACTGCTCAAAATTTCTGCTACCGGTTCTCCAGAACCTGTCAGAACCTGCTAGATTTCACCCCTGGACTGCAGCTCACCAAAGCAGATACATTTTAACAAAATTTGTTGGAAAAGGTACTACTAGATTCTTTCTCCTTTTTTGTTGCCACTATAGATCAAGACAGCTGTCCTCTACGTATTACCATATTTTGGGAGTCATTCTACTGATTGCAAAACTCTTAACAAGAATTTGCCTAGACCTCACCTCATTAGCCATGATGATAACCTGGAGAGCTTTCTCTTGATATTGTTTATAATCCCACTCCAAATAGACAGTAGCTAATAATCGTAGCACTTTTGCCTATAAATAAAATAAAATTAATATTTACACTCAAAAGGCTGAGAACCAGAGAAAGGCAATAAAGGTCACGTATCAAAGTTCTCACACTGAGTGACAAAGATATTCTCCAATGGATTACAAAAATTGCTCACCAGCATTTCTTTACTAATTGAAGAGTTTTTGTGCATCTTTCCAATTTCATAGCTCAGGCTATTTAATAAAAGAAAGAAACAGAATGGATTCACTGACCATGGAGGGGAAGAGAAAACCCACCTGGTAAGTAAAAACCTACCCTAACGACGCATTCACAAAGATGACCCTAAACCCGCCAAATGTCCCAGCACTGTAGTGTATTAATTTTGTAAAATTATTATTTGACATACTTAAATACTTAAGAAATTATACTGGAGGTCTTCTACTGTAAAGCTACAAAAGGAACAGAACACAGAGTAGATGAAGCTTTTTCCTCTGGGGGTGGGGGAGGATATAGATGCCTTCCGGCATACTCTATCTATTCTATATACTGCACTAATGCTCACAAAAGTTTTCTCTTTCAAATAAGAGCCTTGGTAGTACAGTGGTCTAAGGCACCCTGTTATTAAGCTGGTTATTAGGACCAGCTGCCTGCAATTACTGCAGGTTCGAATCTCGCCAAGGCTCAAGGTTGACTCAGCCTTCCATCCTTTCTAAGGTAGGTAACTTGAGGACCCAGTTGTGGGGGCAATAAACTGACTTTGTATAAATATACAAAAGGATGAAGGCTATTGCTGAGCACATTGTAAGCCGCCCTGAGTCTCCGGAGAAGGGCGGCATATAAATCAAAATTAAAAAAAAATAAAAAATAACCAGGATAGAATGTGGGTTTTTTTGGCAAATAAACACTCTAATTTGTTACTTTAAAGCCAGCCTGCATGTATTATGCAGGCATTTGGAGAGACTGTGCAACAGTTTTCCCTCTTTAATCCAGAAATAAATCATATGTACAAACCTCGTTTAAATGGCACCTTATTATAAGTAAATTACATCTGCAAATTTACATAGCTGAATAGTGATGATTGCTTTATTTAAGAAAAAGAAAGCTGGAGTTAAGGGAATTCTGGAAGGAGCAACATTCAGAGTTTCTACTTTTTTTTGCATCAAACCATCTGGGCCTTTATAAATGCACTTATAAAATTACTTTAGCCTTGACTACCTCTGCAGCTAGAAGAATCTCTAAATCACTAGACAGAATTGGATCGCTCATTCTGATAAATGCTTGTTTTGAATCCCAGTGGCTATACATAGGGCAGAGTTGGATATTTTATTTATTGCTTATCAAAATATTACCCAAGCCAAAAGTAATAAGAGTCAAATTACCTGAGCCAAAAGGAGCTCTGCTCATATCTCTTGAATTCGTATGTTTCTATGCCAAAGTTATAGCATAGGAGGGAAAGGTAACAAACCTGTAATTAAATTAGAGTAATTCATACCATAGTTTCGTAATTGCTGTTTTAAAAAAGCTGTGAATTAACCAAGTTTGTTTTTTCATAGCTCTGAAGGACCAGGCAGTACAACAGAATAAAAAAGCATTTAAGATCTAACCTCTGACCTCTTTTGGCAGTCTTATCAGGATGTCTTTACACCGCTGAACACACGTGACTGCTTTCTGAAAGTCTGCTAAAGCAACTGCCTAAGAAAGCAACATGATATGCTAATGAATTGCTTGAATGACACATAGGTTTCTTTTAAATTAATATTTAAAAATGTAATACAAGTACAAGTGGCTAGAGAATAGAAGCTAAAACAAGAAATAAAAGATTTAAAACTATTGATTATAATATAAAGATATATGTAAAATCAGAACATGTTATATTATTCCAATATAATTATTACACTATTACTAGAATTGTTAAAATCTATGAGAAGGCAAATATCGAATAGTGAATTACAAAAGCAGAATATACATGCTGATACTGGAAGCTGTAAAATTATATTACACTGTTATGTTGTTTGTATTTTTATCTGTATTTGTATTTGTATTTTTCCTTTTTTTTCCTTTTTTCCTTATGGTTTTTAAACTTGGAAAATGTTCAATAAAAACTATTTTTAAAAAATTTAAAAAAATGTAATGCAATTTTCCATTAGAGGAGCGCTCATAAAATATCAGACTTAATAGCAATATGGGAAGTAGCAGTCCAACGAACTATAGAATATAGTTATTGAATATAGAATTACAGAATGTTATTTATTGTAATATTGTTACTGAATAATAACAATAGGGATAAAATCCACTTGTTGCCATCATGCTGCTACAATGAATTGAATTATTTTTCAAACATACAGATTCAGCCTGGTAAGACAGAACTTTAAATATATCTTTCTGTATGTCAGCTTTGTGCATATTTGCCTCAGCCTCACTGCTGCAGTCCTTGTTCAGCTGGTCATAAAGTTTCTCTAGATCCTGTAAAATAAAGCACACAGTAAGCTTAAAACACATATAACCACTATTATGTCACCTACTAAAAACTTACATTGGAAAGCCTCAACTTACATGCAGGGCAATGTCAAGGAATTTATTTGCAAGGGCAGGTTTTCCAACATCCACCCAACCTTTTCCAGTCTTCATTAACATCTAGCTCATAAAAGACATATGCAGATTTAAAAGGAATTAGAAATATTGGCAAATCTAGCAACTAGATATATTTCATGTAATATTTTAGAACTTTTATAATGTGGTTGCTTCAGGCACAATAATCATCCTCTATTATTTAAGGTAAGAATATACATCACGCTATCCTATTTCTACATCACTTGTCAGCTATCATAGTTTGTTTAAATCTTTGGCTTGCAACAAGCTAAAACTGTCAATTTCTCTTAGACACAGAATAAAAATTTGAAATGTATTAGAAAACAATATTCTTCTGACATTCTTGAACCTTATCAACTCTTTAGCATTTCAGGAAACAGAAGACAAACACAAATAATAAGTGGACATAAACTATATTACCAAAATTTGCCTTCGTATTATCTCCTCTTTTGGATCACTTACTTCACAAATCATCATCAGGTTGCAGGCTACATGGCGTACTAGAGAAATATGCAAAGGCATTAACTGTTTCAATGCTCAGTGAAAATAGAGATGATGAGAAAACAAATATTTGTGACATGGAGTAAATGCAAAATAGGCGAAAACAGTATGAAGGGAAATACGTTTGAGAGAGATACATGCTGTGCTCAGTTCACCATTTTCATTTGTTCCAATTCATTCATTCCAGCATCAACTTCAGAAAAAAAAACATAGCAAACCCTAATGTCAGTCTCTGCTTCCCTTTAGTGCTGACATTAGAAACAAAATATTTTTATATTGCAAACACTGTGATTTAAGGGGGCACAGAAACGTAGAAAACATCTATAGATTTTCAAGAAGTAAGAACATTCATGAGAGTTTATTCAAGAAACTAAACAAAAAACATTTTACTTTTATTTTTTACATTTAAAAACATTTTAGTAAATCGAAATATTCTTGCTGTGATTTATGGCTGTGAATTCAAACTGACATTTAACTCTTTGCATATCAGTGATACCAGGGGCTGTTTTTTTTGCCACAGTCCAATTCCATAAGTTAACTGCACTTTCCTCAACCTGTAGGGAAAAAAAAACAAGGATAAAAATGAAAAACTCTTAAAATTCATAGAAATCATTTAAATATAAATGAAAAAGCCAATATGTTAAAGCTATGTGGTGATTATTTAACTTCATCATAGGACATTTGGAATCCTAGAAAAAGAGATAGAGGAGCTAATAGTTACCACTTTGCTAGAGGGACAAAAAAGCAGAGGTGGACAGAAGATGGCCTGGCAGGTGGTGGTAGGTCACTGGCTAGTCTATGGTGGGTCAACAAGTATCATTGACCGAGAGCATTTAGACCTTCTCGCTTCACTCTTTGCTCAACTATGCTGAGAGGAAGGCTTGGGCCAATACATAGTAACTGTTCTACACCTTTGGAGATATGTGGAAGAACAGAATATTAACTAACACATCAAATCAGGTTCGCCTAATACGCCAGTTGCGCCCCTTTCTGGACCGGGACTCCCTACGCACAGTCACTCAAGCACTCGTCACTTCTCGTCTGGACTATTGTAACGCTCTCTACATGGGGCTCCCCTTGGGGTGCACCCGGAGGCTCCAACTTATGCAGAATGCGGCCGCGCGGGGGATTATGGGAGCAACAGGGCGCTCCCATGTGACTCCTCTCCTGTGCGAGCTGCATTGGCTTCCGGTGGACTTCCAGGTGCGCTTCAAGGTGTTGGTGATCACCTTTAAAGCGCTCCTTGGCTTAGGGCCGGGGTACTTACGGGACCGCCTTCTGCCACCAATTGCCTCCCACCGGCCAGTTCGCTCCCACAGAGAGGGCCTCCTCAGAGTGCCGTCGGCCAGACAATGTCGGCTGGCGACCCCCAGGGGGAGAGCCTTCTCTGTGATGGCACCTACCCTCTAGAACAATCTACCCCCAGAGATACGAGTGATCCCAGACCTCCGGACTTTTCGTTGGGCCCTTAAAACCTACTTTTTTCAGTTAGTCGGGCTGTCCTGATTTTATGGTTGGTTTTAAATTTGATATTGATTTTAATTGAAATGTTTTAAATTATGGGCCAAATTTTATTTAATTATTTTAAATGTATTTTAACTTTTGTGTATGAATGTTTTATATTTGGCTGTTCACCGCCCTGAGTCCGGAAGGAGAAGGGCGGTATAGAAATCTGAAAATAAATAAATAAATAAATAAATAAATAAATAAATAAATAAATAAATAAATGTTTGTAATCGGATTTTTTGATGGGCTACTTCCCTAAATTTTCAACCTCTTGCCTTTAATGATTCTTGCTTTTTTCCCCCCTCTCTACCTGGGCTTTCTGATTCTCTTTCCACTTTTCTTTATTTGTACTTTCTATCTTGCTGAACAGCTTCTCAATACTGTCTGCTATATCAAATAATGTTTCTTGGTTCATCAAGTTTTGAATTAACTCTGAAAGATATAATAACGTTAGAATAAAAATAGAGGCAGCAAATTGTTTTCAAGTCAGACAACTTAAATTTTCCCCCTCTCGTTCCACTAACTAAATAAAATGCCAGAGCCCAAGGATGTCAGTTAATGGGGTTTAAATAAGAATTCTCCTAAGGCTTAAGCAACCTAAAGTGTTCTGTTTAGGATTCAGAATCAGGGGTTGTCTTGCCCTTGCTGCAAAGGCTGCAATGTGAATGTTCCTTCTCTTCTTATGAGAAGCGCCTGACAGAAGTGAGTCAGGAGGAAATATGGTGCAGTGGGCAGTGATGGTCAGGAAAGGATAGAGGCCATCTTATACAAGTCTGATCAAGCCCAACCATGATCCTGAAGCAGGTGATGCCATCTCCTCAAGCAGCCAGGTGCCTGCTAGGTAAGTGGCCTTCTCCTATATTTCCCAGCAGCATTTTGAAAGATTGCAAGAGGCTGTCCTTCTTTTGGAAGTTTAGACCTACAAAATAATCCTACAACAATCCCGTAACACCCTCCCTGCCACCAAGGTTGGGTAGGATAATGGTGCTGACAGACACTCCGGTTGTGACCTAGACTAGACCTGTAGATAAAATCCAGAGCAGAATCAGAGATCATTTTGAAACAGCAGATTTGAAAGAACCTGCAGAGAGAGAGAAGACAATACCCCTAAAGTTAAATATTTCATTGCTGTATGCAAAAATTACCTCTTATTTCCAAGCTGTCACTTTCATCTTCCATTTTTGCTATGTAGAATAACAGGCTCTTGAAAATAATTTTTTAAAATAATCTTAGTTGTTCTAGTTTATATCTTAATTGATTATCTTTCCCATAATATTTTTTCCTGCTTTGAGCATCCTCCAGCCTTTGCTGCGTTGACAGAGCTGCAATGAGGACCAGCTTTCTGCTGACCCAGCAAAGGCTCCTTGGGGGTGCTTAAGGATGCCCAGGTGGCCATGAAGAAGGAAGCACTACGTCCATTTGTTGCCCTTTTGCAGCCCTTTTCTGGCCAGCCAAACAGTACTTTACTTTTACATTGTTAGTTCCAGCCAAATAGTTTTCTTCACAACCTACTTAGCAAATCTGTCTTGAGCAAACCCTATGCTGCCCTGTCTCTCTGGAAGACCCCTGAGCATGTACAGAATGCCTCCTTCTTCTTACTGACGTGCTCCAACTTTACTTTAATCTCCAATGGCCAAGTGACTATTAGGTGACCCGAGGGAAATAAATAAATAAAGATAAACCATTAAAACCCAGGCAAGAATGCTTCTTGAGAATGTACTTCCATAGAAGTTCACCAGCAAACTTTTCTTTGGGAAACGCACTTTGTATCATATTTGCTACGAGGCCTCATTAAAAAAATGACAATGGATTTGGTAAACATTTTATATCAGAAGGGGCCTGGGATCACCTTTTCTAACTAGCCAATTGGATTAAAAGGTGTGAATTTTAATGAGCTGCCGATTAGTCCACACAGATAAAGTGCCCAGAAATGTTCACATCTTTTAATCAAAATCTTCCTCATGTTTGGCCACTCTAGGCCAGCGTTTTTCAATCTTGGCAACTTTAAGAGGAGTGGACTTTAACTCCCAGAATGCCCTAGATGGGGAGTTCTGGGAGTTGAAGTCCACTCTTGTTAAAAGTTGCCACAGTTGAGAAACACTGCCCTATGCTGTTCTTCTCTGCCAAGACTTTAGATCGGGCGTGCTTCTGCCACCGCACCTGGTGAAGCTAAAGGGAGCCTTTCACATCAAGGCTTTTCCTGAAAGAAAAAAACCTGACTGACAAGAAGGCCGATTGCCAGAGGCCGAGAAAATGGCCGCCCGGCTTTCCCGCCCAAATGTCGCCGCTCCGCCTTCTGCGTAAGGCATGCCGGGAACTCGCGAGGCCCAGCCTTTCAGGCGTGAGCCTCGCAGCCCAAACTACAATCCCCGGCGACCCTAGCGGCGAAGTCGCTAGGAGCGGCCAATGAGGCGGCCTAGGGAAGGGGAGGGCTCTTCTGAGCGACAGGCGCTCGAGCCAATTGCCGCTCGGCGGAGTTGGCGAGTCTGAGGCCGCCCGGCTGGCCGTTCAAGATGTCGGGGCTCCTCAGCGCCACCCTCAAGATGCTCACCAGGGACTCCTACTGCGACTTGAGCGAATACTTGGAGCAGTCCTACAAGGTGTGTGTCGGGGGAGGGGGTGGGGAAGCGCTCTCTGGACTCGCTGGGCTCAGGGGCTCCAGCCCGCGGGCGCTCTGTACATGCCCAGAAACCCTCGCCCGGCCATAGATCTCTTCTGCCCTCAGGAGCCTCTTCCCGGCCCCCAGAGCAGATGGCATGCTCGTGGGAACGGGTTGGTTTTGCCTTAGTCCAGGCGGGAGGGGGAAATCATCATCATCATCATCATCAAATAATAGTAATAACGATCCTAGATCTCTTCTGCTGTTTATGCCTCCCTGCTTGCCTGCCCAATGGGATTGCAGGCCCCCCCAACAACTGTGGGTGGTGGGTGGGTGTTGCTCCATCTCAGCTGCTTCAAGAAGCCTGGATTACAACTCCCAGAGTGCCCCAGCGGCAGGTGGAAGTCCTGGCTGGCGGTGGCTGATGGGTCCTTTGGGGTTCCTTTGCAGGGGCGGAAGGAGCTGCAGGCGGAAGACCTGAAGAACTCCTCCACCCTCTACGTGGGCAACCTCTCCTTCTACACCACGGAGGAGCAGATCCACGAGCTCTTCTCCAAGTGCGGAGACGTCAAGCGCATCATCATGGGCCTGGACAAGAACAAGAAGACGCCCTGCGGGTTCTGCTTCGTGGAGTATCCTTGGCGTGGGGGGCTTGGGGGACGCGGCTCACCTCTGGCACGCTGTGGGGGGGGGGTGGACAGGCAGGGAGGGGAGGCTGCTGGTGGGGAGAAGGGCATTTGGAGGAGGAGAAAAGTGGATGGAAACTCATCGAGAGAAGCAACCTGGAACTAAGGAGAAACTTCCTATCTTCCTTCCTAGGACAATTCACCAATGGGACAGCTTGCCACCAGAAGCTGTGGGTGCTCCAGCACTGGAGGTTTATAAAAAGACACTTGTCTGGCTGTCTGCTTGAGCAGGGGGCTGGACTAGAAGACCTCCAAGGTCCCTTCCAGCTCTATTCTGAATTGAAATTAAGGCGGCTTCTGCCTGTTCATGCCAGTTGCACCCAGCTGCTCTTCTGGATGGCTCAGTTGACTTGTTCTACCCCTCTTCGTGCCAAGGGAATCTTTCCAATTTCACTCCATGGTATTTTTGCAGAAGGTGCTGGGCACTGGGCAAGAGAGTGTGTGCCCCTCATGGGGCTTGTAGTTCCTGACTGCAGAGCTGGGAAGCTTGTTCTGCATCAACAATTTCTGGCCTGGTTGCTGTTCTCTGAGGGGAGCAGTTGCACTCTGTGACTTGGAGCCTGCAAATCTTTCCTAAAATAATACTCCAGATACTACACAAAAGCTGAAGCCGAGCACGCCATGCGTTTCATCAGCGGAACCCGGCTGGATGACCGTGTTATCCGGACAGACTGGGATGTAGGATTCATAGAAGGGAGGCAGTATGGCCGTGGCAGATCAGGCGGGCAGGTAAAGATGGGTAACTGGGAGGAGACTGTGCCTCGAGGGCCCCACTTCACCAAGGGTTCGTCTGGAGACCATTCTGAGCTGTGGGGCTGGATCCCAGAAGCACTGAAGTTGATACCTTTTGCCAGCAGAGATCCCATAGCATTTGGAGGTCGAGCCATTCAAGGGCAGGAACCGGCACCTCTGGATCTTACTTCTACCACTGCGTACCCTTCTCTCAGCTGGGGGTCTCGGGGGCTTCTGGGGTGTCATAACTCCCCAAATTCCTACATCTGCCCTTTATGGGAGTCTTCGAACCTATCATTCCAGGTTGCTTTTCCCTATCATTGGGAAAGGTTGCCCTTTTGATTCCGTGGCTTGCAAGGATGAAGTCTTCATCCATACCTGAGCTCTGCCTTGTTTCCATGCAAAGTCCTTGAGTTACGTGAGCCAAGGGAGGCCGTATCAGAGCTATAGAGAGAGCAGGAAAGGAAAACCTGCCAATTGCAGGCTGCTTTCAGGCTGAGGTGCATTCAGAATGTGCTTTGCAAGCTTCTTCCCGAGTGACCATCCTTGGCTGGCTTTCGCCCATCCAGAATCAAGGGTAGCTCATATTTTGTAAAGCCTGGGATGCAGACGGCTCAGTCTCTTTGGTCAGCTAGATTTTATCATGGTTTTCTCTCTCTCTCTCTCTCTCTCTCTCTCTCCAGGTAAGAGACGAGTACCGGAAGGAGTATGATGAAGGAAGAGGCGGCTTTGGCAAGTTTTTCCTGCAAGAGATGCTGAAACAGTAGAGGGCAATTTTAATAATTTGGATGGAAGGCAGGGAGGAGAGCTAACAACAGCTCATATCTCCTTGGACAGCTGGATAGAAGGGAGGGAGAAAGGGCTCTTTTTTTTGCAAGGTTAGTTCGAGACTCCTTTCTCTCCCCTGTCACTGTTTTTTATGCTTATCCTGGCCTGAGTTGGGATATGGTCCAAGTGGGGAAAAGGGTCCCTGCGGTGTGGAAGCCATTTCTTGTTTGTTTTTCACTTTTTCTGTATGCTGTCATAGTGGTTGTAATGTCCTGAGGTGTATAAACTGTCCTTAATGTTTAAGAGGAGGAATAAGACTGCAATAAAAATGTAATTGGTTTGAAGAGACTGCTTTCTTTGACGTACTGTTACCTTCTCAGGCAGGCCTGTGTGGAGGCATAAGTAGTGTAGAATGGGGCTAGAAAACACACACCTTAAGGAAGCCCACAGCAACCCACAGAACCAAATGTCTCCAGCAGGCTTTTCCCTCTGATTTTGTCCAGACGCGGCTGAGAAGCAGGCCAGGGTAGTTGGCTCAGAGGACGTGCAGAGGTTTAGGGGGAAGGAAAAGACATCCCAGGAAGAGGGGCCCTGCTGTAGCTTATACATGCTCACCAAAAAGAAAAATACTGTTTGTCAGTTATTCGGCATCCTTTTTTTGCAATTCTTTTGAGTTTCTGTAGTGAGAGGCCTGCGGATGTCCTGGGTAATTGTCCCACAGCCAAGGGGCTGCCCTATCCCACCTGCCCTACTGATGTCTGCAGGGAGTAGGGCTGGATGGGCTGGGAATGTGGCCTTTTGTGATATTGAGGCTGGAGTTTTTGGGGAAATGTTGTTGTAGAGGCGAAGTCTGGCCAGCAAGAAGCGCTACAACGAGGCATCCTTTTGCTCTCCCGCTGGTCTCCGGCCTCTGGCAATTAACATCCAGCACATCTCTAGAGGATTTGGGGGTCTGAAATGGAGACGTGACTTGGAGGAGACGTTCCCGCAGGAAATTGGTGCCCTGTGCCCGGCGCTGCTTTTCCTGCCTTTGGGATGTGCTGGGAACTCTTCCCTTCCTTCTTTCGCTGCCAATTTCGGGTTGGAATGAAACAGCAGCACGTCCCGAAGTGTCCGGAAGGCCGGGAGATTTCCCGAAGTCTGCAGAGGGTCGGGCAGCCTGGATTCCGCAAGTCCCGTTTTTGAGAAGCCGCCTGCCTGGCTTCTCTTCCCGGCTGGAGCCTTTGGAGCCCGCCGCCCGAGGCTCCTCTCCCCGGCTCTGCCACGCCGATCCCAGGTTGGAAGACGGAGGCGAGCGTCGGGGGCTCCCCGCCAGAGCGCCCAGCTCCTCGCTCCGGGGCTCAGCTGTTGGCCCGGGCCGGGAGGCGCTTCCAGCGGCCCGGGGGAGGAGGAGGCGGTCGCTGGCGCTTGGCCCGCCCCTCGCCCCCGTTAGATATCCCGCACCCCGCCGGCCGCCTCCTTCCTTCCTCCCTTCGCCGGCTGCCGAGGAGCTGCGCGGCCGCGGCTGGTGAGCGCTGGCGGGGGCGGGCGGGCTTGCGGGAGCCTTCCCTTTGGCGCGCCCCGTCCGGCGGGCGCCCGGTTGCAAGAGGAGCCCCGTGTTGCGTCAGCTCTGCCGGCGGAGGGTCAACAGGTGCAGCTTCGCCTGCCCGCGCGCCACCTGAGCGGCTCCCAGCGCCGCCCGGGGAGTCCCGCGGGCTCCGCGTCTTTCTCCGGCGGGAAGGATGGGCTTGGACTTGGTCCGTCCCGCCAAAGTTTGTGGTTCCCGCGTTGAGCCGCCCTGCGTGGGACGCGGGCGTGGAAGGAGAGGCGCGTCCCGTCCCGGGGCTCCCGCCTGCTCCTCCGGCCCTTCCAGCCTGCGAGGGAAGCCCCTGGGTGGGGAGGCGAGGGGGCAGTTCAGCTTCGCCGGCGGCCCTGCGCTGCTGCTTCCCGGCTGGGCTCCCCTCTGGCCGGCTCTGTCCCGGGGCTTCCGGGCGGGGAAACTCCGAGCCTTGTAGCGCCGAGCTGGGTCTCGCCAGAGCCCCGAGAAAGCCCCGCTGCGGGAATGGCTCGCTCTGCCGGGGGCTCTGGGGCCCGAGCCGTCCCCGGGAGGTTTCATCCCTTTCGTCCTTCCGAGCCTTTCCCGGCTGCTGCTGCTCCTCTGGGGTCGGGGCGGTGGACCGACTGCCTGAGAAAGGGGGCCCCGAAAGCAGCAGGAGAAGTTCCCCTCTGGGAATCCAAGCCTGCAGGTGGCAGATTCGGCTGCTGGGCGTCCGGTCTGCCTTTCCCTCCTGGGTATTTGGCCAAGGCAGCTTAGGGAACGAAAGGGGGAAAGGAGACCCTGTTAGGGGCAGAAGCCCCCTTGGGGCCAGGAACGGGGCTGGTGGGCTTTCCTGCCTTTCATCTCGGCTTCTGGTCTGGAAAAACTTGGACTTGGGAGGGCCTTCTGGGCACTGCTCCCCAGTTCAGAGCCCAGGGCCAAGAAGCGGCAGGGAATCGGGGCCCAGGCACGTTCACACAAATGCCCACTTCAGTCAGGCCAAGCCCTTCTAGCCTTGGGGCCTGGCCACAAACCACTCTGGAAACGGCATGTATGTTTCTGCCTGGCTGAATGCAAACAGGTGTGTTCCTGCACAGAATGTTAAAAATGCGTCATTTGCCAGGTGCCAATTGCTGGAGATGAAAAGGGAGCTGCAGGCAGGATGCTCCTTTGCAGGGAAGGGGGACCGGGAAGGATCAGATCTTCCTGGCGCTCTCTTTCAGAGGATCTCTTGGCGCAGCTGACTTTAAAGTCAGGCTCATTAGTGCTGCCTGGCAGGTTGGGCTTCACAGACCTGCGCCTGGGCTTGGGAAGGTCTCGGAGACGAGACAAGTGGGTCTCATCAAAGACTTCCAGGTTTCCTCATCCGTGGTGTTACCAGGCCATGCAGAGTGCAGGGGATTGCTGGGGGGAAAAAGTAGCCCAAAGGGAGTCGGTGCAGAGCCGGCCGTGTGCGGTTCAGTGATATGGCTCAGCTACAGACATGGTAACCAAAGAGAAGGGGCATTTATAGGGTAAAGCTTGCTGTGAGGGGGGGGGGGCTGCTTTGTTTTGTTCTGCAAGAACCCTGAACTATTCCAGCCTAGTCTTCTCCTTCCCCAGGTAGGATGTTGATTTATTTGCTGTTCCTGTCCCTGAATTCTGGCAGGCTGTGAAGGGCACCAGGACAGTTACATAAAACATGCCTGACTACCAGATCGCTACCATGGCACCAAATGCAGGGAACCGGGGAAGCAGGATCTGCCTGGTTTCATATGTCATGTCATAGTTTGCTTGCCCATAGCTTGCTTGACAAACTAACATTGGCTGGTTTCTTACCCTGTGTCTGCCAAGCTATCAAAGCATGCCATTGCGGGCACCTGGTGAGAATCTGGTCAGGGGATCTCACCTCTGGAGCGTCACCTGTTGGCCCCACCTTGGGGTTATCCTTCTAGTCACTCTTTTCTTTGGGCTGCGCTGCCGGCAGCAGGGACGGGGATGCCTGGTGCCTTTCTTCCTGGGTGGATCTCCTGACCAGTCCCTGAAGAAGGCTCTAGACAAGCGTGCCAGGCTCAGGGGTTAATGGGCAACCCTTTACCTAATCATCGAGAGGGACCTAGTTGGGCAAACGTATGCACGGCCATTACGGGAGAGAGAGGCGGCTGGCTGGCCAGCCTCTGCCCCAGCTGGCTGATGCAAGCAATGATGCAGCTTCTACTCGCCATCTGTCTCTCTCGGACCTTTGGCCCCGCCAGTTCACGCTCGGTGGATGATGTCTCTTTGCAGCCTCTCCTTGCCAAGAAGCTACAGCTAAAGCAGCCGCCGGGTGACTCTTTTCTGCCAGAACCGGGAGGTCTAAATTGGCAGGGTGATGCCCCTGTCTGTCACAGGTGCATGGAGCGGTTTGTTTGCTTTTCCTCCCATTTCCAGCAAGCCCCACGGAGTGGAAGGCGGTTTTTCTCGGTGAGAAGGCCTGGGGAATATTTAGCAACCTTTTTGGAGAGGGCTGGAGGAGAGAAAGCCAGGGGCTTGAGAGAGAGGATTGGATTAGAGATGAAGGCTGTCCCATAGAGCCCCTCAACCTTATGGGCACCAAGGACTCGTTCCCTGGAGAAAGGTTTTTCCATGGACCGGAGGGGGCCTGGTTTCACGTGCTGCCTGCATCTCATGGATGGGGCTTCGCTTGTTTTTTTTTTGTTTTTAATTTGATTTATATGCCGCCCTTCTCCGGAGACTCAGGGCGGCTTACAATGTGCTAAGCAACAGCCTTCATCCTTTTTGTATATTTATACAAAGTCAGCTTATTGCCCCCACAACTGGGTCCTCAATTTACCTACCTTAGAAAGGATGGAAGGCTGAGTCAACCTTGAGCCTTGGCGAGATTCGAACCCTGCAGTAATTGCAGGCAGCTGGTCTTAATAACCAGCTTAATAACAGGGTGCCTTAGACCACTGTACTACCAAGGCTCTTTTGCATGCCCTGGTTGCTGGCATGCTGTGGACCAGTGCCGGGAGTTGGGGAGCCCTGTCATGGAGGAGAGAGCAGCTTTGCTTTTAGCTGCTTCAGAAGGGAAGAGGAAGAAGAGGCCTCGGCGTATAGGAGGGACGAGCGCAAGTTCTGTGGCTGCCACTTTCGAGCAGGGGCTGAATGGCCACTGACGGGAGGTCAGTGACGCAGTGGTATATTTCCTGCTTCAGGAAAGTTTTGGACTGCTCCCTGCGGCCCTATCAGACTTGGGCGATTGTCTGAGCCAGAGAGTGTGAATTGCGGCACCAGCTCCATTCAAAACAGTCACATTCCGGTGCTGCTTTTCCTCTTGCAGGTGCCTCCCCCCCTCCCTCTCCATTCCTCCAGAGGTGCGCATCATTTTCTAATAAGTTATGGCCGATGAGCAGGAAGGCATAAAGAGCACCTCCCGTGTCCTCATTTCCCTGTTGGGACTCTTAATGGGTTGGCAGCTGGCAGAGCCCTTCCAGGCGTCTGCCAGGCTGGGCGAGAGTGGGGTTGTTTTCCTCTTTGCTAATTTAAGGAAGAGAAAAATGAAAAAAACCAAAGCATCCTACAAAACAAAGCCCAGGCCAGGCTTCTGCGCTTGGAAATGTGTTAAGGCCCTGCACAAAGTGATTTCTCAGCATGCAGAAGCCCCTTTTGCCTTGATCTGCTTTTAGAAAACAAAAAAGGGGCTGAAGTGACTCGCCTGCCTCTTCCTGGCCTGGGGGAGGGGTAAGCGGGGGGGCTCTGAATGCAGCCCCTCCTGCCTTGCAGGGCCTTGAAAATCAGGAGTCTGGTCACCTTGACATCTTTTCTTCCTGGGCTGCCAGCCTCTATTTCCCCTTTTCTTCAGACTCC